AATGTGCGAGGCGGAGAAGCAGTTAAAGCATTTGCCGGTGAGGTTGGCGGGGACCGGACGTCGAGGATAAGCCGCCTTGCGCCTTCGCCGCCTTGCGCTCCGCGATTCGGCTTTCTGCCAGCCATCCGGATCAGCGCGGCAACCAGCGCGCGGGCCACCAGAACCACGTCGCCCGGGAGCCCGGCGGAGGAGGGTGATCCTGGGTCCGCAGAGAGCCACAGATGCCGCCGTGGCGTCCCCGGCCTTCTCCGCTGACACAGCACCAGCAGCCATCGAGGTAGCCGAACCAGCCGAGGAAGTCGAACCAGCCATCCCAGATGTGTCCGGAGAAGCCGACCTCAGGACGACGTCACGGAAGGAAGGTGGCGGTCCGTCAGAGCCGGCTAACGCAGGGCTGCTATCGCTCCAGCGCTCTTGCTTCGAGCGACCACGAGAGACGAAAGGAGCGGCGTGAAGAGGCAAGGAGGGGGAAACCGACGCCTTTGAGGGGGAGGAGGAGGTGGTGGCCGCCGGGATCAGGCTGACCGCCGGCGCGGGGCTGTGGGTAGACAAGACGTCGGGAGGGGAAGGGTCGCGAGCCATCGGACGATGTTGTTTCCACATACTATCACATCACATACAAATATAAAACGGTCAGATGCCCCAGCCACAATAAGGGTTACATCAGTAATGGACAAATGGTATATAGAGAAGTCTATGACTCGAAATAAAATGCTCTCTGGTTCGGGCTTAAAAAAAATAGAGCTTGCGTTCCGGCACATATGAGATTTAATCATTTGAATACCTAAGGTGCTTTGATTAGACAATTCCTTTCTTTTCTTTTTTTGTGTTCAAATGGTGGATGTTTGCGAAACCATATAAAATTTTCATGGAGTATTTTATGGCACTGTTTAGAAATTATGACAAGAACCATTGATAAATGAATGCAGTTCATTCAAACAACAAGCAGCAAAGCATGGGCTATACAGTAATAGAAAACAAAACCAGTATAAGAAATGAACAAGACCAGGAACTGCAACATCTAGTTAACGACACAAAATCAACTATACCTGTAGTTTGTCAGTGGAACAAAATCTGCTAGTTTTCCACCATCATTGCTACCCTCAAGGGTCTGGGTATCGACAGCAACCCTCCACACATCACCATCATTCCATGTAACAATATCGATTACAGGTCCCTTATCATCATAACCCTACAAAAACAGGAGGAATACATTACACTAGAAAAAAAAATCCCCTTGCGTTCTATGTGGTCTTCTTACTTCAGCTTGTTTCCTCAGGTATTCAAGTCTGCTTTGCAGGTCTTCATGAGCCTTCTTCAGCACGGTGTCATCACGCTTAGGATGCTTCTGCAACCATTACCAACCAACATGAGAACTTCTGAAAGAGCACTTAACAATGCCCCAAGCAGCAATACTTGTCTACACTGCAAAGAGCAAACTAAATGCAGTACATACAATAAAATAAACAATAGGCAGGAGTGGAGAATCAAGATGCAACCAGAATGGACCTAAACCTTTTCAAATTCATTCAGATGCTTCAGAGCATCGGAAATTGCTTCCTGGTTTTCCTCATCCCATTTCTTCTTTCTTTCTTTCTGAAGTGCGGGTGGGTAGATCCTTGTTAAGATATCAAGTTCAATATAAAAAATTTGGAGTGTAGGCACTGAAAATGAAATTTACCTTCAATCGAGATATAAGTGTGTCAGTAAACAGTTCATATATTAATTTACAGCCAACATGCCACTCTTGAGAAGGGTTTTTCCATGAGGGGTTTATAACCAAACGAGCACCTGGGTGTAAACAGTATATCAGGGAAGAGTCAGTAGAATTCCAATAGGAATATGGATCCCTATTGGCAGCATTGATGAGACAAGGAACATTCATTCATAAATCCATTGCAAGTAAGAAAGGTATACACTCCATACATTTTATTATTTCACAAGAATGCTGAGTATTAAAAACTACCATCCATTTGAGAAGAACAAGAAATGGCATGGAAGCTAAACACCATCTCACCAACCTGAAGCACCAACAATAGCATCATCAGCATCAGCTTTCACCACTTTGGACGTGTCGACATCACCACTACCAGTGCTGCATTTAAGAGCATACATGTATTTGAATTAATGGACACATAATTCAAGAGAAGTAAGCATCCAAATGTTGGAAGGATCAATAGTACCAATCAAGTACATCAAGGATTTTAGGCTTTCCATCTGAAGTAGTCTGCAACCCAGCAGCAGCTGGATCGACTCCTGAATCTGTCATGTTTACAAGTCAACATCAGCACAACACAGCTAGGAGAATCAAAGCCTATCAAATGTATGGAATTGCACACAAATCGGATCCATCATAGATCACGCAAGACTCAGACTGTGCCCGACTGCCCATGCCCTGCATTCATGCTTTGCCTAAACAAGAAATTTTACAAAGCAATATCTAATGGAGATGTAACAACCCCCCACTGATTATACTTCTCTCCATGTTTATTTATCATATATTTCTTAACTATGGTCATTTATTTGAACAAACTTGGTTGTGTTTCTTTAGCAAGATGAACACTCATGCCAACAGGTAAAGGCTGCTAATATCATCTGAACAATACAACAAGCAAGCAAAGTCAAGCCCATAAACTGCAAGCAGGATTCAATTAAGGATGCAACTATCAGGAGAGGTTCTCCCAATAACAGTTAGAGTGCAACCCCCCCCAAAAAAAAAACACAAAAAAAAAGTCCACGTCTTACGCCTTCCCCCAACAGGCAAAAAAACACTCTTGCTCGTGCCGCCATCAGCCACAACTGGATCTCATTGACTCACCAAGCGCCACCACCGCTACACAAACCACTCAAATCCTCAAGCACTAGCCACATAATTATTGTACCTTGATCGGGGAGAGCAAGGTTTTATGCTCAAAACAAAGCCCCGCCATCCTTCACCGTCACAGCTGCAGCCTTGGCCCTTGGCACCAAACCCTCACCCACCCAACTGCCAGTCTGGTGTCCTCCCCCGAAGCTCCCTTTAGTCTGGCAGCACCAGGTAATCCCAGCCCCAAACCCTAACCTTAATAGTCGACAGCTTCTCCTCTTGTTCTTTTCTTTTCAGGAGTTTGTTGATTCTGACATCCATAGTTGTTAAAATCTCGAATTCTCGATTCTATGGTGCGGTTTTACGACTTTACGATCCAAGTTTATCGGGTTGATCTACGATTCTGTTAATTAGAATCTACGATTCTAGTAGTTATGATCCTACCACTTTTTACCCTACCATTGGAGTTCCGATCCGATTTAGGTTCACAATTTTAATAACCTTGCTCAACAGCAATTTGTTTCCAAATCTAGGGAGCTCTCAGTTTAGATTTATGTTCTATAAATAACAAATCATATTCTGCAAAATTCAGTGTCACTTCCACAGACCATGAGCCTCCTATATGTGACAAAGATCACACCATACACACCAGCTTAAACCACAGATATCGAAAACAGAAATATACTCGCTAAAATTCAGAGAGGCTGTTATCCTTTAACTGGTATAAAACCCACAGCGCCCATCTCAGTTATGAATCCGAAAAGCATGCAGTTACAAGCCACACAGCTCAGTGACTTCACCTACTTAAACACCGCAAACCACACAAATGACAACTACGAACCAAACCAGTTAGCCACATGCCCTATCATAGCATCGCCTACTAAAACCCTCAGCCGAACAGATAGCACCCAACACCCAATCTTATCACTCCGGCGAAAACCAGCCGTGCAGCCCTACAGCAACGGGGCGAAGTCAACTACAGCCAACCCATAGGGGTACGCAATCACACATACTTACTCACCGAAGATAGCGATGAGTGCGCCGCGCCCGTCGTACTCAGGGTGCGCGGCGAGGAAGCGGTCAACGCCGATCTCCTTCTTCGGCATGAGGGACTCGAGGAACGAGGGCTCGGTGAGGCGGAATCCACCCGCAGGGGCGGGAGCGGCAGCAGAGGCGGTCGTCTCCTCGGCTGGTGGCGGCGGAGACGGGGACGACGAAGGCATCGCGGTGGCCGAGACGCCCCTGCTAGGACTCGAGCGTCCAGTCGTAACCGCCGCCGCCACAGCGCTGGCTGTGCCGAAGTGAAGTGGTCCGGAACAGGCGGAGACTGCGATGAGGAGATGCAGGTTGGCGTGGGCGACGGGTTTATGTAACGACGCCCACATGATTAGTCCTACTCCTACCAGGCTACCACATCTCGTTCTACAGGATTTGAGTTTTTAATTCAAAAAAGTTGGCCTAATTTAATCGTGGAATCTGCGTGGAAAGCTTTGCTCTTGGAAACGATGATGAGATAAATAAGTGGAAAGAAAATTGGACTGGAGAATGGAGACGAGTAATGCAGCATTGGAGCTGGGAGCAACAATGGAGTGTGCCGTCGTGCCGACCGCCAGTGGCTGTTGCAGTCTGGCAGCCGGTGGTTGGATGGGGCTAATGGAGCGTGGCGTAGCCACTAGCCCAACAGATAATTTGTGCCTATCCTAGCAAAACGCTTGGAAAATAAGATGTGGAGAGGTATGAGAAAGACAAACTGAATGCATACCACTTTAGAACCATAGCAATTTAGAAATTCCCACTTCAAACATCAAACCATTACAAAATAATTGCCCCCTGCCAAATTAATTTCGTTGCCCTTTAGCAATATCTCTTCCGATGTTTGCCCTTGCTCCGGCGAGCAGGTACGCAAGATATGCCCCCATGTCAAAACTTATTTCTAAATATGTCAGCAACCAACCCGGTTTCTCAAAGATCTCAACAACCAACCCGGATACATAACCTTTCAAGAGAATTCATGCATTGCATCATTTTTATTACATACATGGCATTTACCACAAAACAGGGCATACAGAAGAAATACAGTAAAAACATCTCGGTTCTAAGCACAGCTTCAAACATCTCGGTTCTAAGAACAGCTTTATTAAAACGCTACTGAGGCAAATGCAATGCAGCAGTTTAGTAGGGCTAGTGGATCCAATTACAAGGTTGAAGAACTCCCTAGTAGCTTCTTGATGTCCTTCTGCAAAAATTTGCCAAAGTTAGTGCTGCAAGATGAAACAAGAAAACTCAAATGACCCGACCACCGACCAGGTCGATGTAGGAACTTACCTCGATGCTCAGTGGGGAAGTTGTTGGTGCGTACCGCTCCACAACACGCCCCTCTTTGTCAACCAAGAACTTGGAGAAGTTCCATTTTATGTTCTCACCAAAGAGACTACCTTTGCTGGACTTCAGGAACTTGTAGATGGGTGCAGTATTGTCGCCATTGACATCAACCTAACAAAATGAAAGTTAAAAACTTTAAACTCCGTGTATGCTAATTAGAATCACATTCACAAGCACATGGATAATTCAACTGATGCATAAATTAAACAATGAAACTGGTCCCTAATCCCGCCATTTGATTTTCAAAACAATTATGAGATAGCCTTAGCAATGAACAGTAAAAAAAAGGCAGACCAGTGCGGAGGCTCCACATGAGTGGGGTCTGGGAAGGAAAAACCGAGGCAAGCCTTCCCCATAAAATCCGCGGAGAGGCTGCTTCGAACCCACGACCTGGTGACTCAGTGAAACAGCTCTCACCACTGCACCAGGCCTGCCCTTCCAAAGACAACAGAACAACATATATATAAATAGAGAGAGAGAGAATGCTTGGATTCATTGAAAAGTACGGTAGCTGATCATGAACGTCAAGCAGATTTTTTTTTCCCCTTTTGGCTTGGAAAATACAAAGACAAAAGAAATAAGTACTGTGTGCAGATTTACCTTGTCGAAAATTGGATATTCAGCCTTGAAGCGAGTGCAAGCAAACTGGACAATCTCCTCATTAGTGCCAGGCTCCTGCCCACCGAACTGGTTGCATGGGAAAGCAAGGATCTCAAAACCTGAAGACACATCAGACTGACAACATTTAGCACATCAATCATGTTTTGATATGAAGGAGCCAATCTATATGAGCAACAGAGCATGCACAAAAGACACACTCCGTAATTAAGGAATAACGAGGCACAAGATTAGATACTTACCCTGGTCCTTGTACTTCTCATACAACTGGCTCAGCTCTGTGTAGTTGGAATTGGTCAAGCCACTGCAACAGAATAAAAGAGAAGTGGCCATGTTAACTCAAAAGTAGTCAACATAATCTAATACAATGGTACATGTGCACCTCATGATCAGGGATAAAAGACTATGCAAGAACATACACATATTCCTATATTCCTAACATACAGATAGAAATGGGGAGAATAACATTGACACTTAAAAGGGCGTACCAGTCAGAGAGAGCTCCCGCTGCGTGGGGGTCTAGGAAGGGTGTGTCGGTGTAAGCCTTACCCTCGCTTTGTGCAATCTTGAGGAGACCATGACTCGAACCAGGGGACCTTCCGGTCACAGGCGGTAAGACTCTCACCGCTTGCACCAGGCCGCCCTTCAATAACATTGACACTTAAATCTCCATAAATAAATAGTGCAGTTGGCAGGTGTCCCACTATTTTGATGTCCAACTGCAACCACTACCACGCTGTCTGTTTAACAGGCAAATTCCTCCCACACATGGATAACTCAAATGTTGATTCTCAAGAATAGAAATTACTATGGCGCTCAGGGTGCGCGTTTAGAACAATATATTTAACGGTAAAAATTTAAATTTGAATTTGCTACGATTATATTACATAACAAAGCATATAATGTGCATCTTTACTTGCTAGCTCCATCACACTTATCCACAAACATAAAGCTCAAATTATAAATACTCCCTCCATTCCAAATTGTAAGTCGTTTTAGCTTTTCTACATTCAAAGTTTTTACTATGTCTACGTATCTAGACATAGTGTATATCTAGATGCATGGCAAAAACTATGTACCTAAAAAAGCCAAGACAACTTCCAATTTGGAACGGAGCCAAGACAACTTCCAATTTGGAACGGAGGGAGTACACTACATTAGATGATTAGAAGAACTAAATGAGCATATTGCCACTAGTAAGCACCAAAGCACTCTCCTACGGCCAGTTTCACCGTGAAACATGGCTCGTTTCATTATGAATAAGAGGATTACATGATGCATTCCACATAACTTTTCAAGCCATGATCAATTTTGCAACATAATGGAAAATGGTGTTAAGAAAGCAGTAAATTGGTACCACTGAGATGCAACATTGACTATGAGCAGAACCTTCCCCTTGTAGGTGCTAAGGTCCACATCTTTCCCGCTAGCATCCTGCAATCAACAACAACAAAAAAAAAAGATCATTTAGGAAAAGAATCCAAGACGAAAAAAATCATTTAGTATGATAGCACATCCGGAGACTATCGGGAACGAAGCAATCTTCAACCAAAACTGGAGTAGGAAGACAAGACTTGAAAAATAGCGGAATCAGGGAGGGATCTATGTGCAAATGCTAAACTCCGCGAGGACATGTGTACAAACTTTGTAGCTCTCGCTTTCAAAGGGAAATGAGGAATTGGTATTTTATACAGGCGATTGGGCCGTTTTGCGCACCTTGACGGTGAAGTCGTGGACGGAGGTGGCGGAGGAGGCAGCAACCATGCTGAACAGTGCGAACCCGCCGGCTATCGAGCGCAGATCCAGCGACGACGAGACCGCGGAGGATGCGCGGACAAGGTGTGGACAGAGGGAAGGGGCTAGCGAGGCGAGTGTGACGGCCGTAGCGCAGGGGCGCCGCGGAGGATGGAGGGGTGGAGATGGGGACAGCGGCGCACGTCGGGAGGCGGAAGCGCAAGCGAGAGAACAGTGGGGCGGGGCGGGGAGGCATCGGCGATCGGGCCGCGATTATCCCGGAGCGCCGGTGCCGGTGACGGCGGGGCTGATGATAGAATGAACGAAGTAGGAGTATCTTCCCCACGGGCCACGGCCGTATCGTGTTGGCGACTTGGCGGTGGCCACGGACGGGGAAGGCTTATGAGCGTTCCAGGGTGTGTCGTTACAAACATGGTGTCTCGGTGCTACGACGTTAAATTTTCTTATTTTTTATGTCATTCCGTTCATTTTCAAAGCTAACGTTAGCTAACGGTGTTATGAAAAGACTTAAATGCTCTCGGACTAGGGTCGATGAGATAAAGTTCTATTTTTCCATGTGACGCTCTCCAGCTGAGTGTGTGGGCGCCAAACTGATTATCGTTGACTATTTTTTACCTCCCTAATTTAATTGGTATTTAAATTATTTGCAATATTTTTTTAGTTTTAAATATCACAAATTTGATAGATAAGCATTCCATGCCCACCGATCGTAGCGTCCGTGCCTGATGTGACTTGCTCATGCGTCTGCTTTGCCACGTGAGGCGAGGACTTCTACGCCTACCGTTCTCAGGTATTGTGTTATGAACCGGCTATCCTAGATTGGTCACTGAAATCTGAATTTGGACCGGGAAACAGCAAGCACGGGAATGGGAGGACACGAACACGGCCAGAGTCCGTGGGATATCCGGATTCTGTTTGGAGACGGTTACAGAGTTCATGTCTTGCCGAAGAAGACGCACGGCTCCAGCTTATATCACGCTAGTCCGGCACACTGGGCTCGTGCCCTGCTAACTCATCTACACCAACAGCCCAACACTGGGAAGGCCCAACCGCTAGTCCATAACACTCCTCCCTTCTTACACACAGCTTGTCCTCAAGCTGAGAAATCTGGATATTGCTTCGACAGCACCCCCACGTCTTCCCAGGTTACCATTGCCTCCGGCAATCCTTGCCACTGGACAAGCTTCTGATGAACAACCGAAGAACCTCTGATAATGGTGCGGTCTTGAAGACTCTTCTGTGGAACCATAGCTTGCATAGGATCAGTGCATACCATGGATAAGTCTGAACTCACCAGTGTAGTAGGAGGCAGATGCTTCTTAAGTTGAGATATATGTACCACAGGATGGATCTTGGCATCTGCTGGGAGATCCAACTTGTAAGCTACCTTACCAATGCGTGAATTATTTTGAAGGGCCCATAAAACTAAAAGGATAGTTTCTGATGGTTCCTGGATGCAATAGATGATTGAACATATGGTTGTAGCTTTAAGAACACTGAATCACCCTCCTCAAATTCTCTTTCAGTTCTATTCTTATCTGCTTGAGCTTTCATCCTCTGTTGTGCTCTGATTAACTGTTGTTTGATCAACTGAGGCAGCAGCTCCCTCTCCTTTAACCACTGTTCAAGATCTGGCACTGAACATAACTGAAGATTAGCAATGCCTAACTGCCTTGGTGAGTAGCCATATAACACTGCAAATGGAGATTTACCAAGAACTGTATGGGTAGTAGTGTTATACCAAAACTCAGCTACTGAAATCCACTTGCTCCATTGTTTAGGACAAGAATGTACAGTGCACCTCAGGAATGCTTCGAGGCTTTGATTCAATCTTTCGGTTTGGCCATCGGTTTGTGGGTGATAGGCCAAGCTCATCATCAACTTAGTGTCAGATAAACGAAATAGTTCTTGCCATACTGCACTTGTGAATATTCTATCTCGATCTGAGATGATGGCCTTAGGTAGCCCATGGAGCTTATATACATTACTCATAAAGAGTTGAGCAATCTGCAGAGCTGTAAACGGATGTGTGAGAGGGATAAAGTGGCCATACTTTGTAAACTTGTCAACCACAACCAGCAAGGCATTGTGGCGGTCCGAGTTTGGAAGTCCTTCAATGAAGTCTAGACAGACTATTTCCCAGGCTTGTGAAGGAACTAGTAGGGGTTCTAGCAGTCCAGGAGACTTGATCCTCTCAGTCTTTGCCTGTTGGCAAATTTGACAATGCTATACAAATGTAGTAACCATTTGCTTCATTCCAGGCCAGGCAAATAAATGTTTGACCCTTGCATAAGTTGCAGCAATTCCAGAATGGCCACCAATACCACTATCATGTAATGCTGTCAAAATATGCTACTGGGCAGTAGAGTTATTGCCTACCCACACTCTTCCCTGATATCTGATGACCCCATCCTGTAGAGAATAGCCCTTCTGGTTCTCTGAACTCACTGCTAGTTCAGTTAACAGTTGTTTTGCAGTAGGATCATCCTCATAGCCTTCTTTCAACTTTTGTATCCATGTTGGTACACATTCAGATATAGCATTGAGCTCCTGGGACCAGTTATATCTGGATAGGGCATCTGCAGCAGCATTAGATGTACCCTTCTTGTACTGTATGGTATACTGTAGATCCATTAACTTGAGCAATGCTTTGAGTTGCAGCTTGGTAGACACCCACTGATCAGTCAAATACTGCAAGCTCTTGTGATCTGTCCTTATTAGGAATTGTTGATGTTGCAAATATGATCTCCACTTTTCAATTGCAAGTAAGATGGCCAGGCACTCTTTCTCATAAACTGACAAAGCTTGATTCCGAGGCCCCAATGGTTTGCTGAGATAAGCAATAGGGTGGTTGTCCTACATAAGCACTGCCCCACTGCCCTAATCACTAGCATCAGTTTCCACCACAAATTGCTTAGAAAAGTTGGGAACAGCCAAAATAGGAGCTTCTATGAGACAACTCTTGAGTAACTGAAATGCTGCTTCCACATTTGGTGTCCAGAGAAACTGAGTGTCCTTCCTTAATAGATCAGTGAGTGGCTTAGTGATCATGGCATAATGTTGGATGAACTTTCTATAGTATCATGTCAGACCCAGAAATCCTCTAAGCTGTTTGATATTGGTTGGAGAGGGCCACTGCTGAACAACTTGTATTTTGGAGGGATCTGTAGCTACTCCATTAGCTGATATGACATGTCCCAAATATTCCACTTTGTTAGAAGCAAAGGAACACTTGGATTTCTTAATTAAGAACTGGTGTGTCTGCAGAATTTCAAACACTAACTGCAGTAATGTCACATGTTGCTCCAAAGTTGCAGAGTAAACCAATATGTCATCCATGAAGACTAAGACCCTTTTTCTCAAGAGAGCGAAAAAGATTGTGTTCATAAAGCTCTAAAAATGTTGCTAGGGCATTGGTGAGCCCAAATGGCATCACCAAGAATTCAAATAAGCCATTATGTGTTCTAAAGGTTGTCTTATACTCTTCCCCTACTGCCATACAAATCTGATGATAACCAGATCAAAAATCCAACTTTGTGAACCATTTAGCCCCCGCCAACTCATCTAACAACTCATCCACCATAGGCATTGGTGCTTATTCTTCACACAGTGATAGCATTTAGTTATCTCATAATCGACACATAAATGCCATGTACCATCTTTTTTTTTTCTTTACCATAGTCTTGGTGAAGCAAAAGAACTTTCACCGGTCTGGTCACTCCTTGTTGTAGCATTTGTTTCAATTTGAGCCTCAATTTACATCTTGAATTGGAGAATATCTCGTATGGTCTCACTTTAACTGGGTTGAGCCCCCAGTACTAGTGGGATTCTATGATCAGCACTTCTCCTTGGTGGCAAAGTCTTAGGTGCATCAAATAGATGATCATATTTATGCAACAGAGAGGAGATGGGTTCTGGAAGCTGAGTTGTAGGGTCTACTGAATCCACAGCATAAATAGATGGAACTTCCATTCCTATGCTAGGAACAAACATCTGAATGCAATGAGAAACTGCTTCTCTTCTCATCAGTCCTGACAGCTTCACTAAAGAAATAGGCCGACAGGTAGCAGTATCATCAACCACTCCCTGTAAGGGTATCTTCTGATCTCTCATGGTCAGCGTCATCTGCTTTGTTTTGTAGTCCACCCAGATGGGGCTGCGATCCTCTAACCAATCCTCTCCTAGTATTAAGTCATAGCACTTCAATGGAAGGACCTTAGCATCTGAAGTGAAAGTGTGCCCTTGAATAAACCATTTTAGATGAGGAATTCTCTGATTACATAACATCTGACTGCCATCTGCAGCTCTGAATGTAGTAGCTTCACACTGCACTGTACTCAACTAGAGTTGGTTGACCAGGTTGTCCCTGACAAAGGTACCAATACTCCTAGAGTCAACCAGTACAAGTACTAAATGCTTGCCAATTCACGCCAGAAGCTTTAGTGTTTGGTGAGCAGCTTTATTGTTTGAGGGTTTAGTCTGTACAGTTAAAATTGCCTGCTCTTCCTCAGGTAGCTCCACATCGGTCTCACTATCTTCAGGCAATGCAACAATGTTCATAGCATCTAATAGCTCTTCTAGAACATGCAGTGACACATTTGCAGGGCACTTATGAGTTGGATTCCATTTCTCACCGCATTTGAAATAGAGGCCATTCCAGCGTCTGAAGGCTCTTAGTGTGGCTAACTTGTCTTCTGAATCCACTGTTGGCCCTTTGATCATTGGTTTGACAGGTTCAGTTTGCTTGGTCTTCTCCAACCCTGAGGTTGCTCGAGTTCCCCCTCTGGTGAAATCCCACCCAGAGGTTTTGGTATGGCGTTGCTCAAGTTCTTGCTCCCGAAGCATAGCTAGGGCACTTGCTGTATCCACATCACTAGGCCGATGCAGTAAGATTGCTGACCTGATCTCATCCCGAAGGCCACCCATGAATCATGTGACGAAGAAGGTCTCGTCGAACGCTGGGTTGTACAAGAGTACACCATGGGCAAGCTTGTCAAATTCTTCTTGAT